ACCCTGCCTCGTGTACAAATGCAATGCCATTTCGGCAGGGCTATAGGGTACGAAACCTTTCGAACTCGAAAAGGCGCTACTAATTTTGAATAGGTACTTAATGTTGGGGTAAAAGTAATAGATAAAATTGTTTTACATTAAGTATTTGACAGATCGATGTAACTCGTCAAGCGGAATCCGAGAAGAAAAATGACGGATGTGCTGTTTGCTGATAGTCCAGCCCTGCTTCGTGTATAAATGCATGGCGGGGAGACCAGAAAGTTTTCGAAACTGCGTGAGTGGAAGTCCGCGTTGGACAAATTTTGAAAATATCTGAACACACGTGTCCTGTTGAACTTGAAAAAGACGAAATTATTTTTAAGAAGGTGTATTGTTGCTAAATAATAGTTTTTTTTTAATTAAAATATTTGACAGATCATGGTAACTCGTGAATCAACATCTCAGAATTGAATCGGCGAGTTGTGTATTTGCTGACAATCCGAGTCTGCTCTGTTTAGATTTGCATAATAGGAATAAAAAAATTTCGAAACTGCCATCGCGGAAGGCCTGGTTGAATGAACATTGTTTTCGTCGAACCTCTAAAGGTTAACGATTTGGATCATTTTGGAAGATACATACGCCGCGCTTTTCAAAGCGGACTGACGTGCCCTTTTCCAACTTGATAAAGGCAGAATTATTTTAGGAAAGGTATATTATTTGTAAAAAAATATACAATTTTTTTAAGTAACATATTTGACAGACCATGGCAACTAGTAAAGCAGAATCCGAGAATTCAATCGGCGGCTGTACGTTGATTGACAAGAATATAATTGCTGTTAATCCGGCCCTGCTTCGTGTACAAATGCATAGCGGGGAGACATGAACATTTTTCGAAATTGCGGACCTATCCTCTTGGGATTCTACGTTGGACAAATTCTGAAAACGACCCCAGCAATATAATTGGTGAGAAAATAGTTTTTTTTTGTGTTAACAGTTAACAATTTTTTATTTTGGAAATAAGGGGTTTCAGTATGTACTGGTATTAATGAATCAATTTAATGGCCTCAGCATCTCTAAACCCCCCATCTTGAGACGCGTTAACGATCCGGATCGAGTAACGTCGCGTAATTATGTCACTTTTTTAATTAAAAAATGAAAGAGATGTACCTATCATAGTTTAGAAACCCCTACTCCCCTTTGGAGGTGATGAAATAAGTTTTAGCATAAAATATAAGTTCCTCATATTACTTTGATATGATAAGTACAAGTCTTGCCTGTTTTTTTTTAAAGGAGGTTCAAACCCGTGCGAGGTGAGCTTTCATATATGAAACAGACCAGTCATGGGGACACGAGATATGGAAAGTTTCAGCGTAGTCGTCGCCACATTGCTGCCAACACTGCATATATAAGGAATCACGAACCATTCAGGTAAAATTTTGAAAACACATATTTATGGCAATATAGAACCTCTCTTTTTTTAACAGGAATATTGAGACTTAGACCAGTATCTTTTTAAGTAGGCATGTGGGGTAAAGAAGACGCAGAAGCTTCAGTCGGGTACCATCGGTAACGTAGGCGATTGATATATTTCCACCACTACATATGTTGGATTGGAATTTCCCATTTGATGCTTTGACTGACTAAATGAGAAAACTTGGAGGTAACATATTGGTGCAATACTCTATCTTCCAGTCAGTTTCACATAAACTTTGCACGTATTATAGAAATGCCACCTACTTTTTTTGTGTTAATATTATTGAAAGTAGTAGCTGGTAGCTGTAGTCGTAAGCCCAGAGAGTCTCTGTTTTGAACATAATACACAAAATGGGGCGTTCAATACCTCTGATTGCTTAGACTGCATGGCTTTTAGAGTCGGCGTAAACTATGGTCATATACCCCTGATCAAATTCAGAACTAGAAAATCGTTATGTCTCTGCATTAAAAATAATAGTAAAATTTATTGTAGGCACCTAGTAGAGTATCGAAAATTTCCATTTTTAGTGCCAAATTGTTCTAACTGTTTTAATTTTTTTTTAATAATTTATAATGTTAGTGAGTTTCTTTTCAATTATTTGTTACTTAAATTTTCTGCGTATTAAACCTTAATTAACAATACGCTATTCGTTAACGCAGGTAGAATTAATGACGCTGACTAACTTGATTTTGTCCAGGGGGGCGTAGTACGGTAGTTTGTACTGTGATGTTTGGTAGTTTGGCATTGAGCTCTCATTAATAAAACTGGGGAATGTTTCGTTATCTTCAAATCGTAAACACGTATCATTAGAATTATATTTTTAAAATATTGATTAGGACATGTACTAAGTAACTAAATGCTCTAGCAAAAATATTCACACATATTGCGGAAAACGTACAAATTTATATTAGAGAAAATTAACTATTTTTAGAGGTTGGTTTTTCAAAAAGGCGGGGATTTAGTTAAAGAACAGATAGAGACTAAAGGGAAGCTCTATGAGAAAAGTTAGAATTAAAAAAATCGATGTTTTCGTGTCATAGCGAAAGATGAATTATTATTAAAAATAATACTTGCATTAATTGTTGTCACCATTTGTGAAAAATATGGAAAATATCCTCTAGGTTCGCATACCTTTTTTTATTTTTTTTTAAGGTGGCTAACAAAATACACAGACAGAAAAGTTCAGATACTGCTCGTTAATGTAGCGCATAGAAAAAAATTAGAAAAGAGAACGCTTCGTGTATGGCATACGTAGTTTGTACGGAATATTAATCTGAAGGCTGCAAGACAGTGAAAGACTGATGCGCTTAAGTGTGGTTCAGAGAGGTTATTTGGGCTGTAGAAGTTTTTTTTTGAACGTTAGCAAAGAAGAGTATTACAGTATTTAGTATAAGCGTCCAGATTTCATTGTTGTTGAGATTGCCATAGAAACACACTTTCATGTAGTAGTAGCAGCAGCTTTAAAGTATATGACTTTTTAGTTAAGATGCCTTTCGAGTTTGCTTCATGGGTTGATAGGAAATTAAAGGGTAGATACAGATAAGTTACGAAAAAAGTATGTACACTATCCTCAAAGATCAGCAATAAATAAAAGAAATTGATGAAATAGTAAAGTTGACTGCGATATCTTAAAATCATCAATAAGATAGATAAATTAATTTTGAAAATATTAAATAATAAAAACAAATAATAAAATAGCAAAGAAAATCAAAATCATCAATAAGATAGATAAATTAATTTTGTAAATATTAAATAATAAAAATAAAATTATAATAGCAAAGAAAGCCTACCACGGCCACATACACAAAATATTTTCGACATATGAACTTTTCCCAGATAAATAATCAAATATTTCATGATACCTTAAAACAGAAGCATGCGGAAATATGTATGAAGTTAACGCACGGTAGATGGCTAAGTAAATTAAAAAAGTATATGGTTTCTAATATCCTACTTTATTAATAAAAATTTTAACCATGTTTTTGTTTTTGCAGATATTATTGGTGGTGCCTGCCAGCTTCCAGTCCCGAAAAAAGAAATCCAACACTTTTCGTCTTTTTTTCCCCTGTCCTTTGTGCGCAATAGTAAAAAGTACAGTTTGTACCCGCGAGGGTAACATTCGCAGAACTATATGTTTTTAAAATAAATGTTTTGATCAATATTCACTAGGTGGGGTTACCTTATTAAAGAAAATCTTCTTCCAAGAGGTGACACTAGTTTACATTGGAACCGCTAGAGGGTGCATCTGCATCTGCATATTGTTCGCGTGACCATCTGGTCACGCGAACAATATGATCAAGTCTCATTGACGCCATTGCTTTTCTTACGGGTGGGAAAATAACTGGGCTCTGATTGGCTTCGCCGCCATCGCAAACTAGAGGAGGGGGATTGATTAAACCCCACATTTCTGGTTGCTTATCCAATGGGGGCCAGTTTCAAGGGATTATGGGTAAAGGCGGAGGAGCTAGAGGGTCGTGGGGAAGGAGGACACGCCCACAAAAAGGGAGAGGAGTGGGGGAGACCTATAGTGTACCTAAAAACTACTGACAGGCGTATCTTATTTTTAAAATCTTTAATTATCATATCTGGTTTATTTGTCATCACAGTCCTATCTGTTTGTACTTGCGTGTCCCATATTACTGTGATTTTTCCTTTAACTTCAACGTTTTTGGCTTGTGTTTATATAAAGCGTCCTTTATCTCTATTTACAGATATTGTAATGTAATATTAAGCATACTTGATTATGACGTTAAAGATATTCTTTCCATGCTAGAACCGAGCAACCTGTGTTGATATGCGTCATATTGCGTCTACTTTTTCTTTGAATATCTTTTTGCTGATATAGTTGGTTGAAATGGCCTGGTCTTGAGCAGCGACTATTAAAGGTTCTGTTTCTCCCTTTAATATTCCAGTTATCAGTCATCCGAATGTCTGTTTTTTGTCCTTATCGATTTCTCTGGCGTACTGCCCGTGCATTTCTTTGCCTTTTCATCTTTGCTTTATTTCCTCGTTAATTTTCTTCTTGCATCACTGTTTGAGTTTTCTCGCTTTTCAGGTTGTCGTGCTTCCGTTCATTGCAATTATAGATTTCATCGTGTATTATTTTGTTAGTTTTTCGCCATTATTCATCAGTTTATGTTCTTGTTTTCTCTCCATTTCGTTGAGATTTATTATCTCCACAAACCTATTATCTTTTTTTTCGCTTAAGTAGTGCATAATTCCTATAATTGTCAAATAGTAAGTAATCTCATTGCTGCTCTGACTGTATATAGTCCATCTGGATGATGTAGACTATAGACAATCAGTGGCTCCGGGTTTTTCAATCTATACTTGTTATTTCTTTCTCTTTCCAGTCTAAAATGCCGTAGTTATATGTGAGGACTGGAAATTGCTTTTCCCCGTACACTGTAAATTTGTCCGCGAATTTTTACATTCAATTTAATGATAGGCCTGTTTAGAAGCAAAAAACCGCACATAACCTCAATCCCAAAAACCCCTCGCAGTGGGCCGCCAAGAAAATCGCGATGTGCTCCGCGCCCGTCCTAGTGTACCTTCTTGCTAGCAGAGTGTAATTCGCCAATTAAAAATCCGCCTTGTGTAACGCCCTGTTGGCCTCGGTGCATGTCCGGGGTGCTCCGCGTCCGTTCCCCCGGTTCTACCCGTTGCTAGATGTCGCTCGCGTGCTCTCGTCAGTATTGCAACCGGCGGCCGCGTCACCGCGAGGCCCCTCCTGCAGATGGCGGTGACGAGTCGAAGGTAAACAAGTCGAGTGACATACACAATGTCGCAATAATCAGGTATACACGGTATGTCCGAGTTAAATTGAAGTATATAGTGTTTTAATATCTTTTAAATGATAGGGAATTCTGGTATACGTGTGAAACTTTTAACAAATAAAAGATGAGTTTTAAAAATGTTATCTGATGACCCCACTGACTGAAAGTTATGTTTAAAGAAAGTATTTTATACGAAACGCGACATATACATACTTTGTTTCTTTTGGGCGCCACATAGTTAAAATAGTACAAATAGTACGGGGCGTTTGAATTCCCGGTAGTTAGGAGAGTGGTGGTCGACTGACTGGGAGTTCGAGGTAAGTCCCTCGTATACAACAGAATGGAATGGAACATCAGCAGCAGGGTGGGTAGTCGACGGAGTAGGACGGCTCCTACTGTACTTCCCATTTAGATTTCTTAAGGGAACGGAACCAAGAACGTCAGCAACAGGAACACCGGGATGGCCGACGGAATCGACTCAAAAAGAAAAAGAAGACACTCCTCGCCAGACCAATTTTATAAAAAAAATATAACATATTAAAATTCAAGTTTATTTAATTATCCTCCCGATCCCCCCATCACCGCGTTACCACGTCCCTGCATCACCGCCATCTGCAGGGGGGGCCCCACGGTAAATCTATGATTGCGGGTAGCTTATCAGTTCCTATTTTAATGTGAATTGAGACTGGAATATTTGGTGATTCTAGCAATTCAGAATTTATTACCTTTACATAAACGTTGTTTGTATCCCGTTTTCTGTACTCGTGTCTTCGTTGTTCCTTCATCCATTTCGTCTGGCCTTGGATCTGGGCTTTCCTTGCAGCGGGACTTCTGTTGTTGGTTTTTAATTTCATAAACTTGGGAAAAACCTTATTTTGCAGATATTTGTTTATGTTGCTCTGAATTGTCTGAATTGTCTCGTAGAATTAATCCCCTAGAATTTGACACATTTGATTATAGAGTTCGAACATACATTTCATCTATCATTCATAAAAAGTTTCTTAGACAAAAACTAAAGTTAGACAAATTAATTTCTAATACAAAAATATTTAACAGCCAGCCAATTATTACAAAGTATACCGACCAGCAATTTTACAACAGGTTCATAAACTTAACAGACACAACATTTTCTAAAAATGAAGTCGAATTTCTGGAAAAAAGTTTCACCTTTAACTTACAGCACTCTTACATTAATAGGGAATTAAACTGTTTAGAGATCGATTGTGAATTAGCAATTAAGGACATTAAAGATTCTAATTTAAACAAACATGTATTAGCGAATATAATAAACTCTCAATTAATAGATAACAACAAACACAAAGAAATTTCTCAAATGTCACTAGTAAAAACTATCAAAAACAAAGCTTCTGAAAATAACATAATATTTACACGTGCAGATAATGGGAAGACAGTCATAGCTATCGATCTCCCAGAATATAGTTCAAAAACCAACAATTTTCTTAAACCAGAGCTTTTCCAATGTATCAAACACATTCCTACCAAGTTACATCAAAGACAAGTCAAGGAAGTAATTACTAACTCCACACTATTCAGTGACAAAGATAAATAATTTTTAACAATTTTGTTGTACAAAATTTATTTCCCAGTATTCCACCTATGGATGTGATAGATTTAGATTTCACCCTAACTCGGAAACAGGTTAACTCATTGATGAAACTAAATTTATTAGATTACTTAATAGTATGTTTAGACCAAAATTATTTTGAATTTAATGGACAGATTTACATCTCTAAGGAAGGTTTGATTATGGGAAACCCACTTAGTCCTTTGTTAGCCGAGATATTTATGGATAATTTGGAAATTATCATACTAGAACATCCTTTAAGTAAAAGTTTTCTATGGGGGTATAAATATGTGGATGATGCCTTTCTTTGCTTTGTTGGAACGGACAAACAATTGAATTATTTTTTAAATTACATTAACTCATTACATATTAGTATAAAATTCACTATCGAGATTGAACAGGATAACTCTATTAATTCTTTAGACTTAACTATTACGAAAACAAATTAGATTTTTCCCTTTATCATAAACCTTCACACACGGACACAGTCATGCATAACTGAAATCAACCTTATACACACAAAATGGCTGCATTTCACTCTTTTATACACAGACTTTTTAATACGCCACTCTCAACAGAAAATTACAATAAAGAACTTAATATCATTAAAGAAGTTGCACTGAACAACGGCTACAATCCGTCCATTATAGATAAAATTATAAATAAAAAACAAATTCAGACAACAGTAAACTCTATTTCTCCGAAACCTAATACAGAACACGAACAATTTAAAACAATTACATACATAGGAGAACCTGGAGAAAAAGTTTCAAAACATTTGTCAAAAAGTGATTTAAAAATAGCTTTCAGAACTAACAACACAATAGGAAAATATTTAAAAAACAATAAAACTAAATGTCCAAAATCTCAAAAATCAGGTGTCTACATGTTGAAATGCGGATCTTGTCCTAGCAGATAGTTTGTAAATATTACATTTGATAAAGACTCGGCGTTGTCGAAAAAATTGTCATGTCAAAATATATAATTTCGTGAAAATGTGAACTTTGAGTTCTTATTTATTTTGATTTTTTTAGCTCCTTGTTGCTCCAGGACATTCTTAAACTGATAAATTAGTTGTGCACACTGCAACATTTTTGACAAGATTTACATTTAAATTTCTGAGTCATATATACTTTACTAATTGCGTATTTGATGATGACGATTAATAACCTTAAGAGATAAAATTGTAATCTATTTAAAATGATCCTCAAAATCGTAGACGGATTGTGATTAAAAATGAACGCAGAAACGAAATACAGTAAGATATCGAAAAACAAGGTTTGCGACATTTTACATTCAAATTATATTCTTTTAGGTGAGGACTTAACGGCTGCGGATCGACTCCTACTCAAACCCCTCGAAATCGGGCGTGATGTTGGGGAAGAGAAGAAAGTTCCGTGGGAAGCTGAGCCCAAGGATAGATTTTATTTTGTCGGCGTAGTGCTATTTATACTGGGAACTGTCAATACTTTACCGGGATCGTTCCTTGCCAATGCGAACGAGGTAAAATTTTACAGTCAGGCATACATTTCATTGACGTTTATAGCGTTCGTATTATTGATCACAAAATTGGGCCGGTTGGATTGAATTGTAGGCAAAATGATTTAATATAAGCAATGGAGTTCGTTAAATCAGTACTTTCAGTATTTTTGAAGATTGGAACATTCAAATTAGTCGTAAAAGATTCTTAAGTAAATTTAAGGAACTATTAATTTTTTTAAGAAATTTCCACAGGCTACTGTAATACTATTTACACATATTTTGGACTTTTCCTGCGTCAACTGTTAACAAATCGAACACGCTGACGTTTCTATAGTCATACTCTTGGCTTCTTCAGAGTTTAAATGTACCTGCTTATGTAATGTTTGACTGATTTCCAATATGGGTGAAAGGTAAATGCCTGAGTCACGGTTGTTTAGAAATTTATACAGATTCTCGGTTTTTTTTCTTGGTAGAAATAACGGCAACTGCCTGAATTTATTTACCGTGGTGTTAAGACTCTTTCACGTTGTTTTAGCCTAGTTAATATTTTTCGATTCATCTTTGTGGCATACGTATGGACTCACGGTGGCAAGTGTGGGCTTGCTTTCTGGTTCATTGTCCATGCAAGGTTGTGGTGAAGTATATTTTATGGTGGAACGCTTAATATCTCTAAGGTAGAAATTACTAAAGATAAGAGCAGATGTAAGGTGTTTTAATTCTAGGTGCAGTGACTCGGCTTGAGATAGTTCTACGGTTCTGTAAACAAGAGTGTTGATAACCGATGATTTTTGTGTCAGATGGTAATGTGACAATGCATTAAGGCAAGTCTGTGTGAGTATGTTTTCTGAAAATAGAATAATAGAATTAATAAGAATATATAAGAATGAGATATTATCATTGGTTTCTAATTCAATGGTAACACCTATGTTTGGGTGTATGGATTTTAAATGGCTAAGGTTTTCTTGGAGGAAATCGGAGGGACCATAAGACCAAAAAATAAAAGTATAATTTTGGTTTTATTAACAAACCAAAACTAACCAAAAAACAACAATTTTAGATGGAAAGTGTCGAGGACTTTCTTCTCAAAGCCTTCCATAAACATATGTGCATTGACTGGTGATAATGAAGATGCCATAGCTGTTCGTGATATTTGTTCATAAATTTGATCATTACCAGAAAAATATGTACCAGAAAAGCATTATTATTTAATATATCTGAAATAATGTTTCAGGAATAGGGATTCTACGTTGAAACGAACTAGAAAAATCAATTTCTGAACTTGTCAACATTATTTCAGATAATTGGTAACGGTCAAATTTATGAACAAATGGCAGGAACAACAGGATTTCCCTTATTACCATTCATTGCAAGTATATTTATAGAATCTTATGAGAAGAAAGCCTTCGACACTGTCCATCTAAAACCAAATTATGGAAACGCTGCATTAATGAATATTTTGTTATTTGGCCTCATATTCAAGAATCCGACATACGTTTTACCATTGAACTGGAAACCAATAATAATCTTCCATTTTTATATATTGTTATTAATAGAAAATCAGGCCGATGCCTTAATTCATTTTTACATCACCAACCGGCATAAAAATCATCGGCTATTAACTCTCTACCCGAGCTACTGAATCCAGAATTAAACCACTTTATATCCACTGATATAGGATATTAAGATATTGAGCGTTCCATCACCAAATACGCTTCAACATAACATTCTCAAGAAAATGAGCCCGAAAGCAACTCCACACTTGTTATTGTGGTCCTTCCTTACATTTAAAATACCACTGATCACATATCAAATGTTCTTAAGAAACATAACATCAAAACCGATTTAATACTTGTCCAAAAATCTCTCAACATTCAAGAACAAAATTCTGTTTAAGATTCCAAGAGTTTAGAGCATTTCATGCATCTGCTGCAAGGAATACATTGGAGAAACACTACACACAAAAAGAAATCTCCAAACAACTAAACAAACTTCACCGCGACTGATGCCTTTATCCCTCCTCAGTCATCAGTCATCTGAGACAATGTTCATGCCCCCACTTTAGCTCCGCCCTCTCAAACAATATATAAGCCGGTACAGAGTAGAATGCTAACCAGTTTCAGTTAAGCCCCGAAGAAGCTGTGTAATTGGTAGTTAAAAAACTTAAATTATGAATTTAAATTTTAATTGTTGAAATTTAATGTAACGAAATATCCTGGCATTTTAGTAGATATTAGTTCTTGAATATTGAGCACAATATTATCGATCAGTATCGATGAAACTATTTTTAAAAATAAGATATATTTAAAAAACAAACTATGCTGGATCTCACAATTCTAATGTCTTAGATAAATAATTGATTCAAAATTGTACCAAATTTATACTCCTTTTCCATTTTACAGATAGAGATAGAGAATAAATAGTAGTTGTGTATTTAACAAGTCTCGAAAGTGCCACGAGTGACGAAGTAGCTTTTTTTGAAAAGATAACCTTCAGGAGTTCAATCAAAGAAATCACTAAAGATGATATTAATAAATTTACAAGCCAGGTTTTCTGAACATAAAGGTAATTGTAGATAAATACTTAATGATAAATGCATAGAAGAGACGTAAAAAAATATATAAAAACTACTAATCAAATTGTCAATCGTCTTGCTTTTCGGAATGTGCGGAGCATGTCGTTGTAAGCAGGAAGTCGAGATGACACTGAATGACGTAAGGGCGTTGGTCAATTCTGACGGTCTAGTGTTGTAAACGGCATTTGAGACACGAGTTTATTTGGCACAAGCGGAGAGAGTGTTTAATAAACGAGTGACTTAAAAAAATTACGAACCGTGTACAATACGACCGGGAATATTTTTGCAAAACAACACGAATACATTCACTGACATGACAGTCAAAATTGAAAAACGTCAAAAGTTTAGCCGTGCGGTAAAATCTCCGAAAACATCCGATTGCTCTCACACTTCGAAGTGTTTTCGGAGCGCGAGCATTGAAGATGCCAAGTGAGATTTTGGCGAAACGTCTGCAGGATTCCAGTCGGATGCAGGATTCCAGTCGGAGTTCAACGAGCGAACGGATGATATTCCGGAATATAGTGTCACCACATTTTTCCATCCGTGAATCAATACGTAAGAATATATATATATATATATATATATATATATATATATATATATATATATATATATATATATATATATATATATATATATATATATATATATATATATATATATATATATATATATATATATATAATGTGTGTCACGCGTGATCAGTGCATAATTGGATATTTACTGAGTGACGTGTGATACGACGGTCAAAACTAACAAAATGCTATGGCTAAAATCTAGCGCAAATATCCGATCACTCTCAAACTATATATATATATATATATATATATATATATATATATATATATATATATATATATATATATATATATATATATATATATATATATATATATATATATATATATATATATATATATATATATATATATATATATATATATATATATATATATATATATATATATATATATATATATATATATATATCTGTATCTCGAAGAAGCTGCTAGTCGTTCACACACTTGTTTTCTTTTTTGGTATTGAGTGATTTCCATAAATTCACTTCGCGACTTTTCGATGATTACGCCACCACTGCACATAAGAAGCAGTATTGCAATACCGGGCAAGACGAAGAAATTTCTGGGTAAGTCGATTGCAGTCACGTACCGAAAGGCAGATACATGATATCTTACCACCATAGCTTGAACGTATTTGTAACAATTATGTAATTTTCTATTCGTTAAACAATTTTATTATTATTATTAAAGCGCATCTATATAGATTTATTTGTTATAATTTATAGTTGAATAACTCATTTGAAAAATCAGTAAAACCAAATAGTATGTTTTGTTGGTGCAAATAAATATTTAGTATATTCATTGATACGGTTTTTGAAATGAGCGATTCGGTTATTCTACACGAGTTAGATTGTATCTAAGTCAACCTAACAAGACAGTGTAAAGCAGAAAGTAAAAAGCAATCCTAGATTAAACACATGAAACTAATGAGAGTCTCAACGTTTAGTTTTTTGTTAGATTCTATTCTTTCGGTTAATATATGTCGCTAGTCCGTAGTCGCTGTCTAAAATCTCGCTAAAGATTATGGAAGAAAAGTCATACTAAATGTCTTTCGATAAAACACACCGTTTTCCCTGGCAAAAAAAGAGTGCATCTATAATATGAAAGTAGGTTTTGGGTTACATTGACATCAGCGTCGACAGTCATTAATCTAAATATAATATCTATTGCTATTATTTTAAAACTGCATAAAAATAATTTTAACTAGTTTTCCAAAAGCGTAATGAATAATGACAAATGACAAAAATAGGGGTTTGTAAAACGAGGCTTATTTCTTAAAATGCCGCTTTGAATTGATTTTTGGGTCACTCATTATATACAGTAATTATGAATTTTACCTTTTATATACAATTTTGTATTTGTGCTAAGGTATTTTAAACGGTAGGTATCTAAACAAACATTGATTTTGTGTATGATACCTACATATTACTCTATAGTATATTAAGCAACAAGTGTGGTAAACGGCGTTTGAGTCACGAGTTTAATTGGCACGAGCGGAGCGAGTATTTAATAAATGAGTGAGATTAAGATTAAAAGCATGTCTTCTGAAAAGGTTACCGATGAAATTAGAAAATTAACTGCACAAGAGAAAGACTAAGACTTTTTATTGTCGAAAGAGGGAAGCAAAAACAGCTGCAAAAAACTAACAAAAAGGAAGCCATCTGCATTGATTTTGCAAAAAGTATTTCAACCCCAAAATTCCTACAAATGACGAATATTATAAACGGCAGTCATCCAGGTTCTTTCTTCTGGTCAGTCGATATTTTATACCTATTTCGACAGAATCGCTAAAAAATGATCAAATGAAATGACTAATTTTCACTTCTAGTCAATCAAGACGACATTGAAGAACTGGAATTCTTTTGCTACTCTGCAGGAGGACAAAATACAAAATTTGTCATTTATCAATTTATCCATTTTATTGTTAACAACAAAATTCATACCTTAAGAGAAATTAAAATTACATTTCCTGTAAAATGACACTCGTATTTGGAGAGTGAGAAAAACGTAGGTGTTTGAGATCCCGGAAGAATATGAAGAAGTGAATAGTGAGTGTGACATCAAACATTATATTCAATTGGAAATCCGTTCTTTTGTTACTTTTACTTCTGTGACTTTACAGGTGCTTTGCCACTTGGAAAGCCGACGTTTGTAGACCTGACGAGCCTAATGCGGTTTTGTAGTCGAGGCACATTACGGACAAGTTTGAAGTACTTACACTGATGTATAAATTTGAAACATATAAAATTAATTTATAAAAATATCTCCTACCAGCTATATTTTCTTGTTTGTTTCAGGTGACCTAGCTGCTTTCTTCCTTGGAAAACATGAACTTTGTTTTTGTGGCACCAAATTCGTTAAATTTTTTTTTTTAGGTTTAGTGCTATATTCATAAGATTTTGCTATAATGTGTAACTTTAGTTTTCCGTCAACGTTTGAATTATTTCTAAGTATAGAACAAAAATATTTCGTTTTGAGTATTAAAATGGTATTTACTCAGTTTGAAAATAAAGTCTGATTTTCTTCACCTTCTTTGTTGTGAACCAATATCAAAATAGAAAGTTCTATTTTCATCGACCTCAAAAACATTTTTAACCTTAACCATGAACCTTATGAATTGAGATTTCTTAGGATAGTTTATAATTGATAATTGAATATTGAATATTTTCCTAAAAAAGTTGAATTTCGCACACCATACAAAAATGATTTTATTCACTTCAATTTTAGTAATTTGATTGTGCATTAACCAAACCATTTGTTTTTTGTTCTCGAGTGAATGCTATTGACACAAAAAGGTTTCAGTATTGGATGTATAAACTTCGCAACACTTCCCTGGACCACGATGATCCCAATAACCGCCCGTTCCTCCAGAAGAACTTCGCAACATTCCAGTCGTTCGCGATCATTCTGCCTATGATAGTGATGTATTTTATCGCCGCATTCGTAGGCCACAAAATCAGACCGAAGACGAAAGCTTTGATCTTCTTGTGCCCGATAATATTAATATTTTTCGTGCACACGCTGTTGGTCAATGTGAACACTGACGGCGGTAAGTTCTAATATTAAAAAAAAGTGAAAAAAAAAACTATGTTTCCTTCCACAGTTCAGCTGGCATTTTTCTTCTTCACTTCGATTACTTTGGTCGTTTTAAGTGGTAAGTCAATATCACTGCTCCATTAGAGGGTATATAGTCTCAAATATATAATTTTGGCTTAAAAAAATGTTCCAGTTGCAGTAAGTGGCTATAAATACGTCGCCATATTGAGGATTTTTAATTTTTGAAAATATTTTCTTAATTTCTCACGGAAAGTGCTTTGTTGTTTTGTCAAATATTGATGGAAGGACATACCCCTACTGCTACACACAGTGTTTTATTACGCAAAAGGCAAGCAAAATGTAACAACTGTTTATAGTTCTTTGCTTGTACCTATTCTACCTGCTGGGGTTTTTTTTTTCTCTTAACACCTCATTCAGACTTTAAGATGCATCCCGCATATCTTCGCTACTTTCCCTGTATACTTAAAGAGCTCTGGTACCTTTGCAATGGAGAGTTTGGAAGTTACTCGGGCGTAATGAATTGAGCTCATAGTATTCTGGTGGTGCGCAGCTGGTTAGTAAATGAATTGGTGTTTCCTCTTCTTCTAAACACAGTCTACATGTGCTGTCTTTGCCCAGCCTCCTGACATAATTCCAATTAGCGTTAGTAGTTGCGTGTCACTGAGACTGAGATCCAAGTTTCAATCATCAGATCTATCCCAATGCAGAAAGAACTGCCTCCAGAAGCATTTGTTAAATTCGCTTTTAGGCCTTCCGAACCTAATAGTTTAGTAGAGATTATGAGAGACAACAAACTAAAAAAAATGATGTAAAATTGTAATATACCACCAAATGTGCCTCAGCCTCAGTTATCTTGGTAAGCAATATCTGATATTGATATACATATTCTCCAAGGCGAAACCCTAGATCACGAACTTCTTTGTCCCAAGCTCGCTTACTATGGGTTTGACTGTCACTCATTTTAATTGTCCCAATCTTATCTTTCCAACCACACTAAAAAAGTAGTGTTGGAAGAGGATGAGTGGCATGTATCTAGCATAAAATCAAGCGTGCGTACAGAGACAGTCAGTTACTTCACCGGTTTCTACCAATTCCTCTCAAAAATAAAAATAATTACATAATATTACCTTGACACACTATTTGGACGCCCCGTATATGAACCAACGATTGTAAAAAAGTAAAAAATCTAGGCTTAATGCTTGAGAATGACTTACGCTTCAAAGTCAACGTTTCATCTCTATTTCAAAAGGCATATTTTACTCTACGATCCCTATATAAAAACATAAACATTTTAAGTTTCAAATTTCACAAAAAAATATGTAAATCCTGTCGTTAAATTAAATTATGCCAATATAGTGTATTACCCTATCCTCGATGTCTGTACTAAGAATCAGGTTACAAAAGCTTCAGAATGCTTGTTGTAGGTTTATTTTCAGCCTTCTGTCGGTGTTTGTCTATAAATTACTTCTTCATCGCCTTACTATCTAGACGTCGCTTGCCCATAACAGGACTTTGACAGTTTTTCTATGCCTTGTTATCGATTAACATTGTTTCGCTTTATTTACAGTGTTCTTGTAATATATAATAATGTTTTCGTAGAGAGTCGAAACGCTCTTTGCTCAAGACTCAGTTATCCGTATTGCTCTAGTAGGTTTCTCCTTTTATTTAAAAATTAATAAAATTAACGCTAATCTTTATATCGTGATTGTTAAAATTCCCGTTTTATTTTGTTTTTAATTTCTATATATAGCACACTACTTTTTTAATGAGGTTAAAAAGATTGGAAAAATAACACAGTCATGCAGTCTAACCTAACCTATGGTAACCGAGCTTGGCAGAAGGAAGTTCGTGGTCTAGGGTGTCGAACGCCTTAGAAAAATCCACCAATAGTAAAACCACGCCAGTCCATTGTTGTGATTAAGTGTGAGGAAGAATAGACTTTGCCTTTTGCAAGCTTACAATAAAAACTTTAAATAAAAATAATTGAGTGTGAATGTCAAAGTTCGAATACCTTGGGCGAGAACTTTAGTTATCATGAAATGAAAGCAAGCAAACAAGCCAACATAACAGCTTATAGATTATTTCGAGGTGCTTATGAGATGAAAATAAAGACGCAAGATAATATGAACGACAGAGAAGAAGGGAGCAGAACCTGCTCGTTCCTTCAAAAAATGACTAGACCGTTGGCAATCTACATCACAGATACGCCTGTAGAACTAAGCAATAAAGCGAAAAGATCGTAAAGACCGACCTAAAGAACAAGAGGGAAAGTTTCACAATAGGCTTCAAATATAAAAAAAATGTAATTGTAATTAATTTAGGCGAAGACAATCGACATCAAGACACAGAATTGCATATAGAATAATATAAATCTATATATGATAATAGATAAGCGTATAAAGGCATAAGATTAGAATCTGACCGAATGGTCCTGGTAATCGGGGCCATAGAAGTAAAGAAAAAGAAGAAGATCAAGGTCATATCAAGTGAGTCCCGAATTTTCCAGTTAATCGTGAAAATTTTTATAACAATGGAAATTTGGAGTACATGTAATTAAACAACTGACAACACATCAACCGTGAAAGCAAAATTTTCAGAGTTATAAATTTTCTTAAAACAGTGAAAACTTAAAATTATTTATTATTATCCATTCGAAATAGAATTTTTTTCACTCATTATATGCGTTATAAATAACACATTATGATTTTTTTTATTTACTCGAACCATTTTAGATCGCTAATAAAATTATGAATAATTTATTACATCACAGCTCTTGAATTTAATATTGCTCAACCTGTGTGCGTATTGAACTCATTTAATAAGTTAATTGATATGACTAGTAAGATTTATTTGTCATTTACGTATTGTTTTAACGAAAAATGGAGTACTTCTTGGTAAATTGAAAAATCATAACTTATAAAATCACAGAGAAAAAATAAAAATAGATTATACAGTTTTGTAAAATTTATATTTAATTATATCAGAGTTTTTTTCTGTCAATAAAGTTGAGAGTTTCATCCAATTAATTTAAAGTACTTTTCATTGTAAAAAATTGTTAAAAATTTCGGGGATTTTTGGTAGTGACTTTCGTAATAACAAAATACAAGAATTTTAATTTTCACGCTCAAGTGGAAAATCCAATTGTTTTTCAAATTTTTCTTGTCATCAACTAAAATATTAATCTTTTATGTGAGTATTTTTTTTTTCGCATTCTGATCTTCTGCCCCATCTTTTTACATTGCCCATTTGTAGCATGTTTATTGCTAAGCTCTTCTCTTCACAATGGAACACACACATATAATAAGCACAATAAGCCAAAACCAATTTTCTATGAAAGAACTATACCAAAATTCCAACGTCGATGGTTTTTTTATAAACAATTTTGCCTTTCAGTCGTTACTGGAATCGGAGCTGTCGGATGTTTGACGCTAGCTTCATCTTTTCCATCAAATTACACCAAATGCTTCCTGGTGGGACAAGGCTTGGCTGGGATTTTCACGTCCGTGATTCGAATAATCTCCATCGCATCTGCGCCTTCTACCGTGGATGCCGCCTTTATATATTTCGTAACCGGAACAGTCACCATGGCTATCGGGACCGTTCTATTTGTCATGGCTTCCAAGACTCCGTTTTTCAGGTAACGATAGGTCTATTGATATAGCCGCCTTCTAAAAAAATATTCAATGTCAAGAAAATGTTTAAAAAATCGGAAATCTTAAGAATGATGTAGTAAACTACCACTTCGTCGCCTTTATACTTGAAAGTCGCCCCACGTGCATTATAGGCAACTAAATAGATTACATTATGATTAATCATAGGTACAAGAATCTGATAACCAGGGTTACTGCAATGCCAGCTGCTGATATCGAACCAATCAATCACATCTTAGCCGGGACCAATATCTCGCTACACCTGGCCAAAGCTAAAAGAAAACTTACAACATAAAACTGTTCCGAGATTCAGAATGAATGCACACAATACATAAATGATACACTCGACACTATAATTTCGGCCAGTGATGTTGAAGAATGTTGGTATAACGTAAAAAAAGCTTTTGAAAAGTCAGTCGAAAAATTTCTTCAAAATGACAAACACAAAACAAAGAGCGAATAAATGACCACATAAATATTAGGTCTAATGAAAGAACGTAAAAAATTAAACTTTCCAAATTTGTTACTATCGGAAATACAGAGAACTACAAAGAAGATTTAGAAAGGAAATTCGAGGTGCAAAGGAAAAATGGCTTACTGAACTATGCGGAGAAGCTGAATATCTCAAGTGTCTTAATGATACTTTCAACCTGCATAAAAAAGTGAAAGAAATTGCTGGCATCTATCAGCAAAATCCAGTACAGACTATTAGAGATGAAAATCGAATCGAATTATATCAAAAACGGAATCAACGGTTCAGTTGGAAGAGCTCACAGTATATTTGAAAGCGAAATCAGACACGCGAAAAGCTTATAAAGAATAGCAAATCCCCAGGAACAGATAATATGTTTTCTGACACGTACCAATTGATTAATGCACAGAATATAAAAATGATCTCTAGATTCTTTAACAACATTTATTATGCAAGACTTCCAGAAGACTGACTTTATTTTACTTTCATTACTTTACCAGAATCATGTAGTACCCAAACATCATAAGCCTAATGAGCCATTTCTTGAAGCTCTTTTTGCGCAGAAGCTAGCTGCAACTCTCGGTTCGGGTTTAAACACGGTTTCGCAACAAGAGAAGCTATATGCAGCATAGAAACCATGGTACAAAATTGTCAGGACCAGAGAAAATATGTTTTGGTTAGTTTTGGTTAGTTGTGAAAAGAAGATAATGTAAAACACGATCTTCTATCATACCTAAATGATTTGGAACTAGACGGCAAAGATTAATTAGCAATTTGTAATGGAATTAGAAAGGACATATCCGATTGGGCTGCATTTTATCGCCGATGCTGTTTAATCTCCACTCGGAAAGAGTTTTTCTACTCCCGTCCGTAAAATACCTAATTACCCACCGATCTAGCGTGCGGGAAGCGTCACTTTACCAAGTCAGTTTCGTTTCCCATGAATCCGAGCCACTTCGGACAATTATGAGATCTTACTGCACGAATTTGGGAGCAATCGGATGTTTTCGGAGATATTTCCCACGCTTTGAATTCTGACGTTTGTCAATTCTGACGGTCACATCAGTGAATGTATCCTTGTTGTTTTGCGAGAATGTAACCAAATACTAACGGTCGTAGAAAAAGTATAGTATGCAACACGTTCGGTAAACTTTTCAACTCAGTCTCCACTCGTGTCAAATAAAGTCGTGAGTCGAATGACGTTTACCGTATTTGTTGCATAATATACTAATTACTGTTTTAATCGCGGACAATGCAATCGATCTCCAAAAACTATTGAATCAGATAAATGTAACAAGGACAAGAATAGATATAAAATTGGGACCCAGAACAAGAGTTTAAGTGTAGAATAGAGCAATAATAGCAACATTCCTTAAACTAAAAAAAATTCTTACAAACAAAAATCTAAACTTAAAACTAAGATGTTGACAATCTATTCCGGAATATCATCTTTTCGCTTGTTGAACTTCGACTGGAATTCTGCATCCGACTGAAATCCTTCGAAGTGTATAAAAATATATAATTTTATTCAAAATAGTCAATTTTTTATTATTTTATGTTTTTCTTCGTATCAAGTTTGCAAAGTTAAGCAAAAACTACAAAACTTTCATATGGAAACTTTTTTCTATCTCTTCAAATAGAAAAGTTAAGAGGAGTGGAGAATTATGAGGAAGCACACTGTAAATTTTGAAAGTGTTTGTGTTTAAAGTTTTCTCGAAAACTCTCGCTCGATCGAACAACTTAAATCAGAAAACGAAACGAAAAAATTATTTCAATCATTTTTTCGATTATTTAGAGGGTGTGTCGTTAATAGGCAAGAAATAAATTAAAAAGTTCCTGAACATTGCCTTTTTCTGCAGGTAAATAATTTGAGGTAAATTAAGAACCGTGGAAAACGGGAAAATTTGGTTTAAATAGACCGCGTAGAGAGCTACAATTTTCTTATACACTGTCAATGAGGTGCCCAACATTTGAAAGAATGTAGTCGGAAATAGTTATTATTAGTGAAGGGTATTTTGTTTATTAAGGTGAGATATGACTTTGAAGCTAGACTGAGTTTTTAGTTATAAGAAACGTTCTACAGGGAAAGTTACATAGTGGTCCCCAGTAGCACTTCTTTCTATGGACCTTGTTTCACATATTGAAAAGCGCATTCAATGTGAATATCGCCACCAAATACTTTATAATCTAAATTGTTAAAACTGTTTCAAATAATCTATTTTAGATAAATAAAAAAACAACATGTTTTTATTGCATTTTCCGCGCAAATACAGGGAAACTAGGAACCTAGGAATAATAAGTTGTCAAATCAACAATAACAACAAAAGTTTCCATTATGAAAACGATTAAATTAGTAACATATAGTGCTGTTTCAGATACCATTTGCGCGACATCGATGCAGAAACGAAGAGAAAAGTAAACTCTATCGGCGCAATCTTAAGGGCAGTGCAACAGTTTTGGAAAGTGCTGCTTCTAAATGTTATAGGGATAATTTTTCCGATAGCGTCAATCGTAAATTTGGTCGTTTCGGAATACAAAGGCACGGGAAACACTTGGGGAGGTAAAAGAAAAAACGTAATCCAAATTTCCACCAACCTACCATCCGTTTTTCCAATGGTATTTAAATTGTCTCCTTTTCTCGATAAGTAGATAAGTAAATTATTCTTTAATAGTTTTGTATTTTGTCTTTTAAGACTGGTACTTTGTAACGGTGGCAACTTTCTTAATACCGGCCATTTGCGAAATCACGGGCAAACTTCTGGCAACCTTAATCGACAAGGTAAACTACACCGGCATTCATGTACAATTACTTAAACATTTATTTCGTAGGACTACCCCTGGTGGTTTCTGTATATCGGAATATTGATCAAGAGCTTGCTTCTGGGGCCGATGATATTTTTTTCAAATGCTCAGCCAAGGTCCCATACTCCGGTTGTTTTTAAACACGACTGGCAATATATCATCATCATGATCCTAAATTCGCTGTGGGGTGCTTATCTAGGTAACGTTTTGATGCTGAAATTGATAAGGTACGTCTATTTCAGGAGTTTAAAAACACTATTCCCAAAAAATCTTAAATGTTTTGTAAAGGAGGATTTTTTAACAAAAAGTAGCTATCTTTCATTAGAAACTTCTTTGCCCGTAAGCCTCAAGTCTGAGGGTTTCGGACTCCAGTTTTCAATCCCTGATTCTTTCTGCCTTTTACAATTTATATATATATATATATATATATATATATATATATATATATATATATATATATATATATATATATATATATATATATATATATATATATATATATATATATATATATATATATATATATATATATGTATATATATATGATGACACTATATTCCTCGATATCATCCGTTCGCTCGTTGAACTCCGACTGGAATCCTGCATCCGACTGGAATCCTGCATCCGACTGGAATCCTGCAAATCCTGCATCCGACTGGAATCCTGCAGACGTTTCGCCAAAATCTCACTTGGCATCTTCAATGCTCGCGCTCCGAAAACACTTCGAACACTCGTTTCGCATTTCACATTAAACAATTGCGTTAAAACTACATACATCAATCTGAAGCAAATATATTAGGTACGGAAATATTTAAGTCAGAAAATTTAAAAAATTGTCTGCGAATCTTCGAATTTGTCACGAGGATGTTATTTATGGAAATTGCTTAGATTCGTCAGAGGTACGAACAATTCATGTATCAAAAAATCGTATTAAATAAAAAGCCAACCTATCTGTATAACATAGGTTCAGAATTCCTAGACAACTTTTTAAAAGATCATTATTAGAGTGTACAGTAACTATTCCGATTCACTCAAGCAGAAAACTTTATCAACGTTCAAAAAGGAAAAAAGACTCTCTTATCGGTGTTCATCAACTGCACAATAGCAATTAGTATTTAAAAAACATGAACATAAAATGTAGTATTAAAAATAAAAGTTGAATACTTCAAAAATTAATAAATGTCCATAATTCAAACCAATCGGTTTAACTTATAATTATTATATTTCTCCATTTATATAGACTATTCCGCTTAAGATCAAAACAGGGTCTGTTTTACTTATAAATTGTCAACTGATCTTCAGCATTTTTATATTTTTTATTTTAGTTTATCTTTTATTTATTCATTTATTTATTTATATTTTGATTATGTAAGACACAGGTCCAAAATAGTTTTGGCTATGGCATTTAATTACGAAATTGGGCATGAAATCGCTACACCAGAGACATTCTTTGAACATATCACACTATCTTTATTAATTGCTGTCTTTTGGGGAAAATGATAATTGAATGTGATGGAGTCCAACGATCTGTTGGAAATATCGGGGCAATTGGATCTACCAATCCAACATCGTTTAGCAGTATGTTGTCGGGTTCATGCCAAAGCGACAACACTATCTCTATCTCACTATTATACTACACTCTAATTCATTCATTAAAATTCAAATAATTTTTTTGTTATTCCAGGCTGATACCAAAGGATAAACTCGATCTGCTGATTTCGGTAGATCTTTTGTTTGCCGGCCTCGTTGCCATAGCGACTGCTCCCCTGGGTCTGATAATAGTTGCGATGCTATGAGGCCATGGACGAATGAGTAATATTCAACTAATTAAATTTTTGGGATTTGTCGCAATTTACGACACGTTGTATATTATATTGTAAGATATAATCAGGACCCAATTGAACTTGAATTTAATAAAGCTTTGCAGCATATACAAGCCGAAATTGTCAATAAAGGAAAGCTTATTGAAAGCATCAATAGTCACTTAAAACTGACAAGCTTTGTCTGCCACGATTAAAGGTTTGTTTTGTCCCGGCTATATAATATAATAATAACATAAGGTCTATTAGCACATTTTTTATCAATTAAGTATTTATGTATTGCTTGTAGTTTATATATAAGCTTTAGTTGGAATTATTTTTGAAAGTATACATTTTAAGAGATTTACTAAATACGTTTTTTCTGTGATTATCAATTTTATGGCAAAACCGAAAAGAGAAATAAAAAATGTTTTATATGAGTTGGCTGATCCATTTTATTTTTCTGTCATAATTTGTCCCATATTTAAACTGAAGTAAAAAACTCTAAAAGGCTACATCAGAAAAAATGGATTACATGCAACATTTATTTACCGGCGTCATTATCTAACATCTCTATTTTTGTTCATATGTTTTCTTAATAATAATAATAATAAAAATAATAATAATAATAATAATAATAATAATAATAATAATAATAGTAACACAAAGAAAAAGACAATATTGAATATTCTTAGATATAATAATAGAAGGAAAAGAATATAATTCAAAGGAAGGAATAAATGGATTTTGCTTAAATATTAGAGTTAAAAGTATTGCTATCCGCACTGGTAAATTTACGTTGCCTGTGGTATGGGCCGATCTTCAGAAAAGAACAAGTAAGTAGAAAGTAGGCATGAGTAATACGTTTAAACTTATTTTGTTAAACTTTTGTGTTTTATGAAGTTAATTAAAAAAATTTTATAGCAGTTTTATTTTTCCATTCCACAGAACGTCCTTGCATTTATATTACACATTTACAGTATGTTTACTGCAAATCTTTGAAAGCACTATCTATATACCCTGGTATATAAAATATTCAGTTTATTACATTGCAGTTTTCAGTTTTAGCTTCTTTTTTTTTCATTTTCAGCTCATTTAGACCCAGCTGATTGAAATTGATACCGATGAGCACTTCGTTGCCAGAGTTGTACCAATCTGGTGCATTTTTTACGATGCTTGTTATCAGAAACATCGGATTCCTTATTAACTGCAAATAGTTTCCTTGGGAATAATTTCTCCTCCAATGGTAATAAAAAAAGTGACGAGCAACTGTTTGCCACCAAGATTATTTTTATTGTTCCTATATTTTGTGTTTTATGGCAAATTTCATAGCAAAATACTGAACTTCGGTACACTTTTTAATAACGTCTGGTACATTTTACAGAACGTCTCTGGCAATTGAAAATTTGGCCTATGTTGGGAATGATTTTAATTCGTAGGGAACATGCTTCAAGAAGTATTCTTAACTTTATTAACTTTATTTGATTTGCAGAAACGAGTGGCGCCATTTCGAACCTTATAATAATTTCTGCGACTCAGTTATATTCCGGAAAAAGTTATTACACGTTTGCATAAGCATAAGCAATACATATTGAGGATGACAGAGTTTAATCTGGATATCTTGGGCTACAAGAGTGCCCATGATTTAGTTCTTAAATTATGTTAAAATTTTGTTAAATCATCGGGTATCAAGTCTCTCGTTTACAGAGTCGTAAAACTATCTCACCCGAAGTAACTGAAGCCAGAATTAAAACACCTTACCTCTGCTCTTCTCTCTAATAAATTCCACATTAAAGATATTATGCGTTCCATCACACAATATACTTCACCACAACCTTCCAATAGCAGTGAGGCAGAAAGCAATCCCACACTTGCCACGGTCCTTCCTTACATTCAAAACATAACTGAATGCATATCAAAAGTTCTAAAGAAACATAACTTCAAAACCAGATTTACTGCTTGTGGAAAAATCTCTCAACATCTTCTATCCGTCAAAGATAAAATTCCATTTGAGATGCCAGGAGTTGACAGCATTCCATGCATATGCGGCAATGTTTACTGACTTAACTTGCTTATAAAATACTTTAAAGTGATAATAAGTTGATAATAAAAACAAATAACTAATGCAGGGGGCTCCTTCGCTTGGAGAACTCAAGGCTATACCAGAAAGTGCTGAACAGAAGTGCTTCGAGGATTGAAAAAACGTTGGCACAAGTGTGGGAGGGATTACTTTACTTTACTTTACTTTACTACCGTTATAGAGAGCTTGGAAACTTTACGAACAGAGTGATCAAGTGTGAGAAAAAGCATATGTAGAACACTTTTTAAACAAGAAAAACTAGTCAAAAACCATGGGGAAAAGGATTGCTCACCACCAGCTCAAGATTTAATAAACCAAACCTAATTCCAATTCCAATCTCAAATTCGACAATTTCTATAAGAACTTTCAGATGATCATTAGAAGAATCGACGAAGGCAAGTGCAGTGTGTTAGTCCTACTCGACTATTCTAGGGCTTTTGATACCGTTCTTAAATATCTGGGTTTTGGAGAGGTATCTGTGAATTCAATAGAAAACTACTTAACGGAGAGAAAGCAAAAAGTGGTCTTGAACGCTATCGAGTCTGCTTACCTAGACATAAGAAGTGTAGTACCACAAGGCTCGATTTTAGCTTCTGCTTTGTTTATTATTTTCAGAACAAAATTCTACCTCTACCGTTTTTTTTTTACCCTTCTCGATTACATCTTGAATGCCAATATATCAACAATCATGGTTTATTCTTAAAACTGAAAAAATCTACGGTAATGCTTCTTGGCGGTCCGGTGGATGTTAAGCGTTTTGTGTCTGGACCATTCATAACAATAGGCAATATTATTCAGCGATTATAAAACGAAGCAAAAAATTTGGGGTTATTTTTAGATACAAAACTTGGCGTTGAAAAACACATCTCAGCTTGTATACAAATGGCTACTGGTCGTCTAAAAGGTTTGTATAGCACAAGGAATTTTCTAATTGAAAATCTTAAAAAAACGTTTTCGATGCTCCTGTTCTCTCCGCATTCAACCATTGCGATATCGTGTATGGGTCTTGCTTGACAGCACACTCCTCGTGGAAGACCACTCAGCCACAATTTGAAGGATGTGGGTTGAACCAATATGAAGACACGGTGCTTGATCCACGGCTGCTGTCTCTATATCAAAATTATTAAAACAAAATACTCTGAACATCTCTCAGAAAAAGTAACTTTTAAGACAGACGTGAACAACTTAAATCTACAATTTAAAGCATTGATTATTCTTCGTGACCAATCTGGTATATCTGAAAGATCCTTGAGCTACGACCTGGCAGGATTAAACTATATTCCTCCTGCGTCGGTTGCTAATGCATCGAACTTGCTGACGTTTCGATAATCATCCTGTTGGCTTCTTCAGAGCTTAACTCCTTCAGCTTCGCCCCTCTCAAATAATATATAAGCTGGTACAGAGTAAAATGCGAGCCAGTTTCAGTTAAGCTCTGAAGAATCCAATAAGAAGATTAGCGAATCCTCAATAAGCTTGATTCATCAACAGCAGACAGCCGACAGCCGAGAAATAAAAAAGATTTGTAAATAGTATTACGGTAGACAGTGGAAGTTTCTTGGAACATAAAAAAACAACATAAAGTCTTGGAAATTACATTAATCGCAAAAGCAGAAAGTTAGAAGATCACCGATTGAAACAGGTAAGATTACGTTGTAGACTGACCTTTTTGTTACGTTTTAGGGATCATAACGTTATCCCTAATTTTCTTAAAATATCCCATCATGTTAAAGTAACATCTGCTTATAAAATTCTTCTTAAATCTAGTTTGGCTTTAATTCTGGCAAGAATTCATCATACCTGCAAAGAAATAGAGCAAATCCATAAAATTCTTCTATTTCTACATTTGGCAATTGCTCCCATATTGTCCCCATCTGAGTTTGATTTCAAACATGACAAAGCTGAAAATCTTCGGTTATCGAATATCCAGAATCATATTCAAACCAAACACTCAAACACTGGGGCTAATGTATCATCGCACCCACTTTCTGAGACGGAGAAATCAGTTGTTGAGATTTAAAACAGCTAATTAAATTCGATTTGAAACCGCAAAAAACTTAAAAAAAACAAACCTCCAAAATCTAAAATTCCAAAGCCTGAACACATTACTCTAAAATGTCTAACATCCTATCCCGACAACGTAATTCTAAAAACATGGTAGTCATAAACATAAGTAGATATCAGGAAAAATTTCAAGATATTCTTACAGACGGATCCAATCGTCGTCTTAAAAAAGTTCTTACGTCATCTATAGAAAGCAACCTTAAATATGTTATTAAGGGTGCTTCTCTATCAGAATCCGTGAAAAAGTCTGCCACCCCTCATAATTCTAAAATTTTTGGGACTCCCTAATATTGATAAACCATGAATACTCCTTCGACCTATTGTCAGCTCCATTGGTTTTCCAGCATATTCTTTAGCAAATTATCTAGCTTCTATATTAAAACCCTTCACAGGGAAAACTGATAGTTTAGTACATAATTTACTTCATTAATTGATTAATTGGTCAAATTGTCAAGAATCCCTCCGAGGTTTGCCTAGCCATTTAAACTTTATACACCTGAACGTTCGTTTTACAACTGAATTATAAACTTATAATAATCTCCCATTCTTGGATATTTTTATCAATAGAAAATACGCATACAGACCGATAGCTTAATGCATTGTCACATCACCATACTGTCCAAAAATCATCGGTTATTAACTATCTTGTTTACAGAGCCGTCAAATGATCTCAACCCGAGTCACTGAAGCCAGAATTAAAACAAATTAGATGTGCTCTTCTCTCTAACAATTTTCACATTAGAGTTCCATCACAAAATACACTTCACCACAACCCTTCCAAAGACCACGAGTCCGAAAGCAATCCCACACGTGCCACTGCTGTTCCTCCTTACATTCAAAACATGACCGACCACATATCAAATGTTCTTAAGAAATGTAATGTCGAAACCAGATTTAACACTTGTCTAAAAATCTCTCAACATCTGCGATCCGTCAAAGACAAAATTCCGTTAAAAAATAAATAAGTCAAATGTCATTTGATAAAGACACGGTGTTGTCGAAACAATTGTCATGTCATAATATATAATTTTGTGAAAATCTGAACTTTTAGTTCTTATTTATTTTGATAAATGGATTTTCATCAAGTAAAAGCCACCTCAGTTCAAAATTCCGTTTCAGATACCAGGCGAAAAATATTCATTCATTAGGCTCAAAGAACATGAAATAGCCTTAACACTGCGACAAATAATTACGTCAGCAGTTGCCGAATACAAT